GGCACTCTCGGACTTGCTCTGCCCTTACATGCCCTTATTATTGATGTATGTATTCCAGATGTTTCCACAGATACTTTTTTCCTTGGTTAAATAGTGCTCCACTGATCCAGAAACTACTTGTTCATTGTGGCAATATGGAGGAGGGACTTAAAGTATCTTTATGTAAATTTCATAAACCAGTTGAATAATTGAATTAGCACAAGAATTTGGTGTGGCCATTCAGACTAAAGGTCTGCACAGTAGTATACTGCCTCCAGAAGTGGCCAATTCCTAAATGCCTGAAACAGAGCAAGTACATAACAATGCTTCCCCAGAATATTTGCTTGCTCTACAAGAGTTCATGGTTTTGTAGATTTTCTGGGTTGAGGTGCTTTCTTTAGATGTAACAATCTTTGGATAGAGGTTGTTTTGGCTTTTTTTTTTATTCCTTGTGGGGGGAAAAAATAACATTGCCTCAAAAATATAGCGTGCTCCATAGGTAGTTCTTGTTTAACTGTTGGGGGTTTTTTTGTCTCTTTAAGGAAATGTTAAGTTCAACTCTATAACAACTTATTTCCAAAAATCCTTCTATAGAAGAATGATTTGTGAAAGTATCTTGAGAACTTTGTATTTTTTGACCTTTAATGTTTTAAACCGGTTAAATTCCTGTATTATTAGATGCTGTTAAGGAAGTAATAAAGAAGAAGCTGCTTCAAGCCTGGTTACAATTGACTGAAGGGGATGTTTTAGAATTGCTTCATCGACTGGATGTGGAAAACTGCCCAGAAGTGGCCGTGCCAGTACTAAATGCTATATTTTCATTATCTCCACTTCATGACTTTGTCCAGAACTGTAAAAACCTTGACAGCAGGTATGTAGATCAGTTATAATTTCCAAAAGATGGATATTTTGTGTAAGAATATGGAATTAAAGGTTATATCTAAATGGGGAGCAGAGTAACTATGACCTCTGATAAAAAACTGATATGGTGGTATAAGCCATGATGTCTCCCTGGTGTTTGTGTCCTTAGGCATTTTGGATATGCTTTTTTCTTTTTAAAAGATCTGTGTTCAGCAGCTGAAAGTGATTGTGCCAGATAAGCAAGAGGAAAAAATGAAAAATGTCTTTGACTTCTTGTCCAAAGATCATACTCTTAGAACTTAAGAGGAGGCAGTAAATTAACTAAACAAGCTTTTCTATGAGTAACAATTTAGAGCCTAATTTGTTTTATTTCCTGTACTGGCTGTACATCTGACAATAAAGGCAATGCTCTAGTTTACCCCCACAACTGTAATTTCCTCTCTTCTTTTAACCTGTGGTACTGAAAAGCTCCTTTTCTCCTGTTCCTCCTCCCTCTCAGTTATGCTTCTGGTCTTTCTCACACATTTCCTAGTCCTCATTGGCTTCTCTGTATCTTTTTTTCCTGAGCAAGAGGCAGCACAATTTGGGCTGGTTCAGTTATCCAGGAACTGCTTGGGGAATCAATCAGAATGGAATTACTGGGCTTGTGTTTCAGCCTTCTTTTGGGGGTATTTTACTCGTATTAACAGAGCTTGACAGAAGTTGATATCTTAGAGGCTTCTTTTCCTGTGTTGATGTTTGGTAGAGTTTGACTGAGTTCCTCAGCTATGAAGAAGATGGCGTGATGAATATTAAGATCTAAAAAGCAAAAATGAAGGGGGGAAAGAAAACAAGAAATTAGAAGTTGTAGGAAATTGCGAAGGGAGGCACAAAGGTGTGAGACAAAATAGCTCGAGTTAATTGAGGCAACTAGAGTGTAATGATTATTAACAGTGGCAGAGGTCTGCTCTGAGACGATAAACTTAAATAACAAATTGTTGCTGATTAAGAAGTGATAACAAAATCTTATTCTTTGTTTTGGGGGAAAATGTGTAATGTCATCATATGAAGTGTCTTGCATTCTAGTAGTAGCTTATGACAGAAGTTGTGAAATCAGTGCATTGCACTCCAAAGCTATAGATGTGGGCCTGTCTTGCTTTAACAAGTGTCAATAACTTTCTCCAGTCTCTGGAAATGTGCCAATATCTTAAGAAGTTCAAAGGAAAAATGTATATAGTTAAGGACTTGTAAGTCTGACTTTAATCCTTCATCAAATGAGGCTTCTGTTCTGAAAGACTGGGCTAAGTTGAGAATTTTTTGAAGTAGTTTGAGAAGTGAGTTAAATTATTCAGCTTGTAATGAGGTTATTTGATTTATGGAAAATACTAGGCTTGTTCTTGTATGATGTTTCTGACTACAGCTTGAGTGATGCAGTATCAGTATGATAGATTTTGAAGTCTATGATTTCTATTTGTTAAACTTTCAAACAAAGACTTGTCAGATTAATGGGAAGTCATCAAAGGATCAGTTTTCATCTACATGTTGTTGAGGGTTTTTTGTCTTGGTTTTTTTTTTTTTTTCATTTGTGTGTGACCTAAAAGAAAAACAAAATCATTATTGATAGTTTGTAAGTAAAATGAGATTCAAGGGAGTGAAAAGTACCACTGACAGGGATACTCTGTCTTTTCTGTTTTGAGGTAGAATTAATGCACAACTTAATGTTCAGTTTCTGAAAACAAAGATGATATGCCATGCTTAGCATGTGAAAGACTATGATTGTAAAAAGGAGTGGGGGTCTTATGGTCAACTGAGGATGAGCTTACAGAGATGCTGAGAAGCAGTGCTATTACTTTTTGCATTTGACATCCTATGATTGCCACTCGAATATTGTGTGAAGGTCTTGCACTAAGAACGAGAGAAACAATTCATAAACAGAAGCTGAAAAATAATTTGCTGCAGTTGTTGCACTTCTGCAGGTTAATGGAGTTCAGTTTTCTAGACTTGTACAGTGATAACAATATTTCATAGAGTTAAAGAACTTTGGTGGTTGTTGTAGGAGGTCTGAAGGGCTGAGCAGAATTTTTCTGCAAACTGCTATGAACAGCCTTGGTTTAAAATACTGAAAACTGCAATGTAATGAGAGGCTCAGGTAGCTCCATGTACTCATTTATGAAAAAAGGAAGTTATTTTTGTTAGACTTTAAAGTATTTCTATGGGGAATACCTTCTACAGGATTTTATTTTCATTTTAGGAAAAAATCTATTTCTGTGCATTTGTTGTCTTTGACAGTATTTAATTTATCTATCTATTTACTTATTTATAGAAAACTGATTCCACTGGAAGACTTAACAACTGAGAATGTGATATATTGGAGATGTCTTTGTGAATATCTCAAATCAAAAGGTGAAGAAGGTGAAGATTTACTAGAACAGATATTGCCAGAACCAGCTATATATGCAGATTATTTGTTAAGGTACATTGCTTTTAAATATAAGCCTCTTACCTCTAAAATAGATTTTTTTTTTTTTTTTAAGTAGAGAATATTTTTTTATTCAACTACTCAGATTTCCTCCAAAGCCAAAGTTGTGCTTGAACAGTGATTAAAAAAAAACACAAACGGGGTTTTTTTAAAGATTTCTGAGAGTATTTACTACTTTTAAATAAAAACCGTAAAAAACAAATTTCTAACTTAAAAACAGTTTTTGGAATGTCATTTCTCATGAATTATAAGAAAGATGGACTGCTCGATCAATAGCTTATAATTCTTTGCTATAGATAATAGATATAATTGTTCTGTAATATGCAGCTATCCTTTGTCCATCTGTTAGTATGTAGGTTGCTGTGTGTTTGCAAAGAGCTTGCACAAAGAGGTTTTTAGAGCTTGTAGAACCAGATGCTTTCTTCATTGTTGTAACTTGTGAAAATAAAGTAAAATTTGGCTGCTGTCCCCAGAAGTGTTCTTGAAACTGAAAATTCATTCCCTTCTCTTTCCCCTGTGCAGATAGGCATGCTTCCCAAAATCTTATGTTTGAAGGTAGTGACAGAGCTGCTAAATGAGGCAATTACAGAATGTATAATTGGGGCAAAACAGTGAATGTTTTGTTAAGTCAATCTTTTTACCAAAGTGAAAAAGGGTAAATGTTTTTGTCTCAATGGGGTACTTTAGTCTTCATGTAAAATTTGAACAGAATTTATGTTTGTGAGCATGGAGTATGCTGAGAAATCTTAACTGAGGTATTGTACGTGTAAAATGTAGATTGAAGCTTCCTGAAATGATTATAAATCAGATTCCCTGAAAAATGCATTGTTTTGATAGATGTTTCCAGTTAAAAATATGCATTTTCTTTTCTCACTTGAGTGGGTGTAGTATACTAGTAGTACTCATACAAATCATTGCTACTTTTCAATGTGGAATGTGCTAACATGTTTCATAAACATTTAATAGATGAAGCGTCTGTGCTTCCTTGATTTTTGAGATGTGGATCCAGTCTGGTGGGTGTAGATTTATTAATTCATAATTAATTTAGGAGTCCATGAAACATTTGTTCTGGAAAAAAAAAAAGGTTTTATTTCTTCCATCTGATCTTACTCAAAATGCCTTCAATTATCTTCCTCTTCAGGAACAGGCTGGGTAAGATTAATTATATTTACTGGTTTGTAGTATCAACGGTTAAACCATTAATTGGTGAGCTGTGCCACCAGTTGTTTTAGGTAAAATTTGCAATTGTATAATCAAAGGCTTTATTTACACTGTGAGAGTATCAGTTAGGAACTGCAAGAAACTGCAAGTCATCGATACTTCAGAAGAAATGCAGGATTGTAAACTTCATTTAGATATTTCACTATTACCTGGTGCAGGTAACATTTTTGTTAAATGATCAGAAACTGTTGCCTATGTTGTAGTTTCAGATAGTTTCAGATGTTCTTAAATAGTAGCTACATGCAAACTTTTTGTCCTAACTTCGAGGAAATTTTTAAAATTTGCTAAATTTAATGAGCTATTGCTGAAAAGTATCTGCAAAGCTGTGGTAAAAATAAGCATCTTTTTCACAGCTCGTATCAGTATTTGAATTTTATATATTATATTCATAATTGAATTTTGTACACAATATGTTTCACTCCAAAATTTTCTGAACATGCATGCTCTCATTGATGGATAAAATTTCGATAAAAGAACAATGACTCTAGAAAAATAAAGACATGGAACAAACTGGTTACACTTTCCATACTATGTGGCTGAGTGTATCTGACAACAGATTGTTTTTATGTGATGGCATACTTGATCAGGTAAAGAATTTAAAATTCACGCACACTTTAATGATTTTCTTGTAGGCAATATAACATTTCTGAACATGTAGGAGAATACGTAGTACTTAAATATGCAGAAAAATACTAGTCATATATATGAAAAATGCTATATTCATTCCTAAGATGATGCCTTTATGCAGGGGTACAGAACTGAAATTTACACTTACAAGCATAACGTTTAATTTTCTGTCTCTTACTGTTTTACATTCTCAAACAAGGGATTGTTTTAATGAAGTGCATCATTTTCAAACTGTACATTATTTGGTATAAAGAACTTTCTGGAACTATTAATCTATGAAAAGGAGAACACAAACTAATTTTTAAGGTTTGTAACTGAAGTAACCACTTGTTTATACAGGATAGGAAAGTGGTGGGGCTTTTTTTGGAGGGGAGGGTGTTTGGGTTTTTTTTTGGTGTGCGTGGTTTTATGGTGTTTTTTGTGGTTTGTTTTGTGGTGTTTTTTTTTTTTTTCCTTTCCAACAATGATTCTGAATGTAATCATATCTGTTCTATTTGGATTCAGTTACCTTCAAAATATGCCAGTTCTTAGTGAAGAACAAAGAGAAGACTTTACTTGTTTTGAAAACCTGATGACAAAAGAATTTATAGGCCAGCAACTGATTCTTATCATAGGCTGCATGGATACTACGGAAGAGGGAGGAAGGTAAACTTAAATATGAAATCTGTGTTATTAAGCTTATGACACTCATGCCTGTGGACAGGCACAGAGTCTGCTGGGAAAATATCCTGATCAAACAGACCAAATACAGTTCTAGTGTTCGCTAGAAAAAAAGTCCTGGTCTCTTTAATGGAATTGTTCCCAGAAATGTGCCAAATGTTGTCTGCTTGCTTTTATGGAAAAATGAGTTTTAATGTTTGAGGAGAACAAATTCAGTTTTTTTCATAATGTATTCTTGAGATTATAAGTTACAAGACTATTAATTTGGAACGTAGTTTATAAAAAATAAAAGGAGATAAATGAAGTACTTCTCAGCAGATGACTTGTAGTAATTAGCCTGTGTGTTTCTTACGTTTTAAGGCCCAGTCTGCTAAGGCCTAAAAGGTTACAGATGTTTCAGTTGCCAAGCTCAATTGGACTGTGTTAACTGAGTCATTCCTATAATTTGAACAGCCTTTTGATGTGAAGTAACAAGAGTGAATAAATTTGGAAGTTCATACCATCACAGGCATTTTATGAAAAATTGCAGTTATGATAGTACAAACACAGCAATAATTTCAAACTCTTAGTGGAATGCGTTATATCTATGCCAGACTGGCTGGGATAGTTTAACTTGTAATTTTTTTTTTAGTTTCCAGGCAGATAATTTCTGTGAAAGCATTCTACAGTATTGATACTCTGACTGTTTTGTGCTTGTAAGACCTTTCATTGGACAGTAGTGACACCTGATTTAAAAATTCAGCATTTTCTAATTAAGAGAAATCAGGTAAAATAAGGAAAAGACAAACATTGCTTCATAAGAAAATATTTTCTGCAGTTAATACAGATATAGAGAATTTTATAATGTATTATAAAGTCTTTAGCACACTGACTCAAAGTGGGTAAAATATTAACTTTTACATCTTCCATTTTCTTTAATAAGCAAACAGATATTTCTTTTTTCCTCTTTAATGCAGAAAGCATCTCTTAGTTACTTTACAAAAGATTCTCATTCTACCTGCAACTTCAACAGCCCTTATACCTCTGCTTGTGGAAAGATTACTCAGTGTTGTTGAGGATGATGACAGAAGGATTCAAATTGTAAGTAATTCTAAAGGCTCATTGTTTTCTAGGCTCTGTTCCCCAATATATCAAACAGCCTTCATGGAGCACTGTAACAGAGATATCACAAAGTAAAACATTTTTAGTCTGGAAAAGCATTTGTGTGTCCATCCTCGCACCACCACCACCCCCCCCCCCATATATATGTATATTTTTTTTTTTTTTAGCATGGCTGCATTTTTTGATTGTCTGAAGATCTTTATCTTTAGAGATCTGGCTGGTGTTGTAAATGTAATTCTCAAATTAGGAAAGTATTACACTGACAGCCTGTTTCAGAATCCTTTGTTGTATTAAATCCAAACAGTTTTGACTAGAACATTCAAAGTGAGGCCAATGCACACTTCCAGGTTTCAGATTTCTCTTCCCTCCTTTTAGCTGAGAGAGGTACTAAAACCCCCTATGTGAAAAGTATTTTATATAGTAAAGTCTCTATATACAGCATAATTATTTAAACTTAACTCCTGAAAAATAGACCCTTGGTTTAGCTCAAATATTTTCCATGACCCTTGGACTTAAGGACAGAAATGACTTGTGGAAGACCTCAATCCAGTAGGTAAAGCTAGGATTTTAGGTTGTTACGTGATTATGATGGAACAACTATGCTAATCTTAGTGTTATAGTACAACAGAAATAGTAAATGTGTGCATTTCTTTTATTCTTGTGAAAGACACTGATTTAATATGTTCTCTTGATTTGGGACAGCTTGAGAGGAAGTTAAACTAAGGTGATCTGATACAAGATAAATCAAATTAAGAATATCTTGTCTCATTCAGTCTTTAGTTTTCCTCATGTTTCATCTAATTTTTTATTAATGTAATGGGTCTGACTTTAAAGAAAACCCCTAACCAACCGAAAAACTCTCAGCCTCATTCTGCTTCTAGTTCTATGCACATATTTGGCTTGAAATTAGATTACTTACGTGGCCTCTTGTACTACATACGGTGCTTTATAGACCTTTAGACGATAGTGCTCTCAGTTGTATTTTGTTTGAAGTAGTAACAGATGAGAAACTTTACTCTTGTTACCAGTAGTTCTTTTTAAAGCATGTGTTCAGATTTGGAGGAGATGGTGCCTGTGAACTGTTGGCATGGAAACTGCTTAACTTATTCATGGATATACAGTCTTCTATTTTCTTGTTTACCTAGCTAAATGGTAAAAAAATATTGGACTTTCCTGGTTAGACTACGTATTGTCAAATTGAGGATTTATTTGCAGTGAATTAGCTGTTAAGGGAAACTGCACAGATGTTCAGTACTTTTTCCGAAGGATGGTATTTTAAATTTGGAAAAGTTAAATGCTTAGTATCCGACATCTGAGCTGAAATTAATGGCACTAATATACTGTTTGTAACAATAGATTGCAGAAATTATATCAGAAGTTCATGAGCCGATTGTTACATTCGACCAGCCTGTTGATGTTGCTGAAATAAGAAAAAGGGAGCTTAAGGTAAGCAGATTTTAGTTAACAAGAAAAATATTTTTAAGTATATCCATCTAGTAAGAGTTTTATTATAGTAGTGTATTATTGGCTAGTGTCAATAGTGTATTGTTGGCTAATACCAAAAAGGCTTTGGTATTATATTAATTTTCTTTTTGTGTTGTATTTCAGTTGGCTGAAATAAAAGTGAAACTTTTTGAAGCAAAAGAAGCTTTGGAAAAATGCATTACTCTGCAGGATTTTAATGAAGCATCAGTATTAAAAGAGAAAATAACTGAGTTGGAACGCATTAAAAATGATCTGATAAAAGAGGCAGAGCAACCTGAAATTAAAGAAATGCGTGTGGAGAAGGTATCTTCCCTTCCTGTATTCCAAAGTGCTGGTTATGTTTTGGTGTTTATTCATAGTTTTAAAAGAAAGCGTAGCTCGGCCTTGTAGCATCTAAATTTTTAAAACTGAAAAATAACAGTTACGGTATTGTGGTATTCTTCTGCATGTATAGAAGCTGCTTGTATGCTCTAGAAAAAAATGAATTGCAGTTTAACTGCTCTTTTGTCCTTGAGTAACTAAAGAATTCTGAAAGGGTCTTGTTTTTACTGCTTTTAGTGTTAACTGAAAATGTGAACCTGAATCTCTTTTCATCATAGTTTATAGACAGATTTTGATTATTATTCTTGCACAACAAATGTGTAGTGGCCAGGAAATGTTTATTTGGGTAGGGAAAAAATTTTGATTAATGTCCCTGTTCTCCTTATCACAGCGATTATTTGCATTAATAATGTTTTTCTCTTTTCCCTGACCTGCTTGAAGAATGATCCTGAAACACTGTTGAAGTGTCTGATGATGTGTTATGAGTTTCTGAAGATCATGTCCCTTTCTAAAGGAATTGGTCCAACCATTAATGAAATCATTGAATCTCTGGTATGTAGGAATAAATACTGTTTACATTATAATAAAAATGGATACATCATAGCTGGCAGGATGGTTTGTGATTATTTCACAATCACTTTGCTGTATCTTCAGTGATGTGCCTGGTGCTTTTAAGCATTCCTAGAACCTAGTGTCTTGGAGGTGCAGTCCAGATATACTGTTCTGAGCTCCTATGCCAGAACTGGTTATGGCAGAGAGATGCTAAAATAAAACAGGAATATGGTAAATATTTGATTAATGTATGACACTGTTGGACAATGCTGAGTTATACTGTGCCAAGTGTGATGCTTAGGCATCTGCTTACTGCTCTTGTTGGTACTTTAATTACTTGGATTTTCTATCAGCCAAAGTTATGAGATCTCTCATATAGACCTTTCTTTCATCCCTTCCATGTACAAGAAAAAATGTCTGGGGGATTTCCTCCCACCCGCTCTGTTTTCTTAGCACTTTTGAAGAGCAAAATATTTCTGTATTGAAAAATAAGGCAATGGCATTATAGGCATTATGGGCCTCTTATCGTCTACAAGGTATACTTTCTAGTTCTCATTGTGAATAATACGGATTTTAAGATGAACATTTCTAAATATCACAGACTTTTAACTGTTACTGAGTGTGCAAACAAAATGGAAAAAAAGTAATATGCCATTGCATGAATGGTGCACCCACATCTGAATACTTTGTGCAATTCTGATCCCATCTGTCGAGGAAGTTTATATTTGAAGTCAAAGTGGTGAAGAGAAGGGCAGCAAGGAAAAATATGGAATAGCTTCTGTATGAGGAATGACTAAATAGGTTACCTCTGAAGAGGTATATTTATTAAAAACAAACACAAAACAAAGCACTTGTGACTTTTGCCATTATTTTATTGCTGATTTCAAACAGCATACTCAATTTCCTTCTGTTTATATCTACATAAACAGAGTATATAGTAGTTATCCCTTTCTAATCCTGTATCAAATGAAATTATTTTTAGTTTCAGATTAAGCACAATTTAGTATGCAAATTTTTATTTTTAATTTATTTATTTCAACTACAAAGTCTTATGTTATTGTTTCTAGATACTTCCTGGCATAACTAATGTCCATCCAGCTGTGAGAAATATGTCAGTTCTGTGTTTGGGTTGCTGTGCCCTTCAGAACAAAGAATTTGCCCGACAACATCTTACATTGCTGTTACAGGTAAAATATCTGGTGGGAAATGGAATGATGGTCTGTATGACTTAGTCAATAAAACTAGTCTTGTATCTGTAACAAGCTATTCTACATAGTTATTTCAGAACCAGTGATTCCTGATTTTGTAAAGATCTGGATCTGGAGAGTGTGGTTTCATGTAGATTTTTCTGATATCTAATAATATTCAAGCTTATATTGTATCCTGGTAGTAGCATGCCTTTCCTTTGTAAGGTCACCTGTTGTCTTGAAAGTTTGTAGGAATTCTTTTATCATGTAAGGTCTTCCTTTCTCTTCTGAATCTGGGTGAAACCAGTCATGTATCTATGTTATTAACTAGAAAAGAAGCTGTAGGATTCTGTAAGCCTTCCTTCCTTCCTTCCTTGGGAAACCAAACCAAAAATGTGACTGTGGTTGTTCTTACATTTCTGTTACATATTTACATGTGATCTTTGGTGTCTGATTTAATTTCTGAATTTTTAATTTTGTATTGGTTAAGGGCCATTAATTAGAGGATAAAGCAATATTCAAACCAACAAATGATAGCATGGCCAAGCATCTGTAGATTGGAACACGCTGGATGCCATAATACCCACATCTCCCACCTTTGTGAATGTTCTGATGCTGAGCTAATTATATAAAAGATGACACTCTTTTTAACTTTTCAGACCCTGTCTTTGACGAAAGTGTAGGTGGCCATTGTGCTTTATTATGAGTGTGTTCATCTACACACTCAAGAACTGACAGCAGGCATTGCAATTATATGCTCAGCTCAGACAAGATGATAGAGCTGTCAGTCACCATAGCGGGAGAACTTTGGGCAAAAAATCTTATGCTTAATGTTAACATTGGTGATGTATGTATTGCTGTAAGATGATGTATGTATTTTCCTTATTAAACCTAGGTTTTACAAATAGATAACTTAAAGGTAAAGCTCAGTGCTTTAAAGGCAATCTTTGATCAACTAATGCTGTTTGGGATTGAGCCATTTAAAGCCAGAAGAGGCAAAGACTCTCAGAGTGAAGATGCACGCATTAGAACTGAAAATTGTGGGGAAGAAAGTGAAGCAATAGAGGAGGAAGAAGAGACTGCTACGGTTCACAACCTTCTGCAGCTTCTTTCTGGTTTCTTAGACAGTGAGGTAAGCAGTGCTATAAAATTTGCTGTATTTTTGTTTTAAAATAATTTTTGCAGAAGGTTTACCATCCCATTAGGTTACATGTGAATATCACATGACGTGTAGTTGAAGTTAATGGTCTAATGTTAAAATCGTTGTCCTAGAAAATGACCACAACTTTGTCACTCTTGAGTTAACTTTGAATTCTGTGCAGGTGCAAATATGTGAATGTAGAGAATTGACTGGCAAAATAGGATGTAGACTATTATAATAAAGTATTAGTGAAAAATGCTGTGGTTGGTGTGTTGTGTATATGATCAGTTCTTTCTTCAGTTTTCAGAACTTAGGACAGAAGCTGCAGAAGGCATAGCCAAACTGATGTTCTCTGGGAGGCTGATTAGCGCCAAGCTTCTTTCCCGTCTTATTTTGTTGTGGTATAATCCTGTGACTGAAGAGGATACTCGGCTTAGACACTGTCTAGGAGTTTTCTTCCCTTTATTTGCTTATGCAAATAGGTATGGCCTTTGTAAATTATTATGTGAAAATAGGCATTGGACTAGCAGCTTTAGGAACCTTTTTTGATCTTGCACAAGTAGAAATTGTACAAATTCAAATTAGACCTAAAGATCTAGTTCAGCCTCCTGTGCCTATTACTTTTGAACGTATGTAATCTCAACCTGTGACTATTCTGAAGACTTTCCATTAATTCCCTCTTACCCCTCCGGCCTTCCACTTTTTTTTTTCTTTCCTAAGCCTATAATTGAAACTATTCTTCAAGATACTGAATAAAAGATTAATCTAAAAAGATGTGCTTTACTTATTTATGCTGTTGAGCAGTTCAGGTAGACTTTGAAGTGTCACTAAAAAGTAG